ATAGTGGTGAATGGAGTTAAATCCAGTGGTGTTCCCCAGGGCTCAGTACTGTGGCCAGTTCTGTTTAATCTCTATTGATGATCTGGAGGAGGGGATGGAGTGCACCCTCAATAAGTTTACAGATGACACCAAGTAGCGCAGGAGCGTTGATCTGTCTGAGGGTAAGAAGGCTCTGTGAGGGATCTGGACAGGCTGGATTGATGGGCTGTGGCCAATGGTACGAGGTTCAACAAGGCAAAGTGCTGGGTCCTGCGCTTGGACCAGAACAGCCCCATGTCATACTACAGGCTGGGGGAAGAGTCGCTGGAAAGCTACTCGGCAGAAAAAGACCTGGGGGTGCTGATTGATGGAGCTGAACGTGAGCCAGCTGTGCCCAGGCAGCCAAGAAGGCCAACAGCATCCTGGCCTGTATCAGCAATAGTGTGGCCAGCAGGGCCCGGGCAGTGATCATCCCCCTGCACTGGGCACTGGTGAGGCTGCACCTTGAATCCTGTGCTCAGTTCTGGGCCCCTCACTACAAGAGAGACATTGAGGTGCTGGAGTGGGTCCAGAGAAAGGCAACAGAGCTGGTGAAGGGTCTGGAGCACAAGTGTGATGAGGAACAGCTGAGGGACCTGGGGTGTTTAGTCTGGAGAAGGGAAGGCTCAGGGGGGATCTTACCACTCTATACAACTGCATGAGAGGCAGTTGCTGGTGTTGGTCTCTTCTCCTAAGAAACAAGTTACAGAGCAAGAGGTAATGGCCTCAAGTTGTGCCAGGGTAGGTTTAGATTGGATATGAGGAACAATTTCTTCACTGAAAATTTCTTCAAGTACTGGAACAGGCTGTGCAGGGCAGTGGTGGCGTCACCATCCCTGAAGGTATTTAAAAGACATGTAGATGTGGCACTGAGGGACATGGTTTAGTGGTGGACTTGGCAGTACTAGGTAATGGTTAGACTCATTGGTCTTAAAGCTCTTTTCCAAACTAAAAAGAATCTATAACTGCACACCTTTTACAAACTGTCAGCTGAGTACCCAGGCTTATAAACGTTGCTTTTCTTGGTATTGTTTTCAACTTCTGTTTAGGATACAGTTGCCTGTAGAGGATGTTGTAGTATTGTTGTGTCAAAAACAAGGTATCACAGGAGTGAGATTTGCCTAATGTAGAGATTATTCAGTTCTGATGTCCAAAACAACAAAGGAAGAAGGTTTCAGTGTTGCTGTGGCTTGTAGGTTCATCCATTATTATAGAAAGAATATAATTTGTATGGTTGCTACCATTTCTGACATGTCAGTATCATCAGACTGTTACAATCAACAATTTATGAAATTTATGTACTCATCAAAAGTACTCCTTGCTGTCTTGACTCTTCCCACTGAAGGTAAGGGTAGAACTTCTTGTGGGAGGAGAAGGCTAATGCTGAGTGATTTGAAAATCCTATGACCTTATGCATGATGTCAATGAGAACAGCAGTAAACAGCAAAAAGCAAGGTTCTCTACTAATGGTAAGAATTAATTCTTGCATGTTTTGTAGTTTTCTTCACAGTTCTTTTGATATCTTGCAATGTAAAAAATGATCCTATTAGCTATTTTTACAATACAGAGGTATATGCAAAGAAAGATTCCACTTTCAGGACTTTCAGTTTTTCTCCCTCTGCCTGCAAGGAAAATGAGAGGTCAAGTAAACTGTATGATACCACCTTTTTTATTTGACTATATGGAAATATAAAACATAGGCAGAATTTTTAAAGACATGATCCTTTATCAGGCTATGGAAAGAGAACAAAGGAAAACCAGAGATAGAGAGGAAGAAACTGCAATTAACTAACAGTTTTGCTCTCCCTGTCTATTCTATGAAATTGTTTTTAATTGCTTTGCAACTTGGTTTTCTCTGCAGCTATGCTATTACATTTGGATTCCTTTATTCTAAAATTCTGTGGCATCTATACCAGAAACTAGAACAGCAGTCTTTAGCTTTAGAATTTAATTTACCCCCATCTATCCACGTGAGCAATAGTGAGGATTGTCAGTACTGAAGTAATTTAGAATTCTCAGAAGGCTCTTTAGCTCTTAGCCTTATCTGTTAATACTACTTAAATATTTCACAGTTCTATCTACACTTGGTATGTTGCCAGAGTAACAGATGTTCCAGCAACTGCTGTTTATTTTACTTAGTAATGGTCGTTCACAGATTTCAGAGCATCACTTACATGAGACACCATGTGCTTTAGAAAATATTATTACCATTAACTGTTGCTATAATCATTATCATTAAAAGTTTCAGTACCTATAACCTCCAAATAATTGTAAGTAAACAATCCAACAAGTAAAAAATCCAGTCCTTCTTATTTAATTTATATTTGCATGCCATTATAAGATGAATCTGACCTTATTTATGTCTCAATTACTGAGTAAACTCAAGGGAATTTACAAAGTAAGGGAATATACAAAATGGAAAAGAAATTACTTGAACTGTGCTGGTTACACTTCAGACTTACTTTCTTGGAAAATGAAGGTGTTTCTGTTGTATTCTGTTGTATTCCAAAGTCAAAGGATTAAATTCAGAGAATAATAATATGGTTCACATTCTGAGTCTCTTGATATGTAACATAGCAGTAAACTACCTGTAAATAATAAGAACCTGTTAAGAAGTTAATTAATTACATGGGAAATGCAAAGGAGGAACACAAGGCATGTCAAATGAGAAGGTGAGTACAGTCCTCTTGTATCAGACTCCAGTCTGATGCACCAGACAGCAATCTGGTGCATTCCTCATAATTGGAAAACGCCATAAAAAAGAAATCTTGAAGTTCTGAAACATTTAAAGCAAAAGCAGAAAACCCCTTAAAACTCAGCAAGACCAACAGTGAACATGTACTCTGTGTCAGAAGAGGGAAAAGAATCAGTAAGCAGTTTAGGTAACACTTCCAGGTGTAATCAAACCAGAAAAAATAACTATTTCCACCACTTAAAGCAATGACTGTTGTGAGATACATAAAAAACCACATGCATTCTCCATAGAGAGTTGGAGAAATGGTATTTCACTTTGTCAGGAGGATCTTGCAGTGTATTAAAAGTTACATCACCTTAGAAGGATGTAGTGAGGTAGTAAAAAATTTCGTTAACATCAGTTTTTTAACAGATACTATGAGTGTTAAATTACATATGCATGTGTTTATATGTACATTACAGATGCAGGCAAATATGATAACCATATAGTTTGCTACAGTATCTGGGTTGCACTAAAGGTTTGCTTTTCCTCTGTTACGGAACGTCATGGTTTGCTCCCTTGTGATGATTTCTTTAGGAAATTGTACAGGAGTTGTCAGAATTAGGCAATTGTAAAATAAATAAGAACTGGTGCATGATTGTAATATGAATATACATGAATATATATAAGCACTGCAGTTAAGGTTTTTAGAGTTTTGCTTGTTGTTTCCCCCCCACCCCAGATTTTAACCTGTATTATGCAATTTGACAAGTCAACAAATACAGTGCAATGTTATTTCCTTTCTAAGTTAGGTTTTGTGGTACTGGAGTACTCTGATTTTTCTGACTTTTTTTCAGCACTCAGTGCATGTTGGGGTAGCATCTTGTTTGTCCAGGATGCTACACCAGCATACGTCTGGTTAGGTTCTGTTTGGTCCTTGTTGCAGGTGCTATGGCACAAATGATAAGGATCTCTGTATACAATTTATTTCCCTGTCTCTCATGCTCTAGAAGTGGATATATTGCTCCTGATTACTCTCAGTCCCTCTTGCTCAAAAGCAAAATCAAGGCTGGATCCTGAATTTGAGACTCGCACGTGGTGGAGTATAGAACTAGATTCTGATTCTTGTGTATGTATTTGTGTGCATTGTAGGAAACCCACTTTTAATAAATCAGAAATATTGAATATAGTCACATCTTTTCTGAGATTATTCTCTTTATATTGAAATAGAAATGCAAGATTGTTAATTTTTTTCTCTAGAAATCTTCAAAGTAATAAATCTTCTTCCCCTTTAATTAGCATAACTAGTACTTTCAGTTTAGGTTTATGTAATCTCAAAAGAGATAAAATTTTCAGGGTAGGATTGTTAAAAGAGATGGGGGGCAAAAGATCTGAAGATCAGGTTTTCTTCAGATAAGATCTTAATTGTTCAGATGAATTGTTGAAGTTTAGCAAAGTAATGGTGTAACAGGTAAAAATCCTGTGACACCATGCACTTTTACTAGGATTAGCACTTTGTAAATGACATTTTTAAGCAGACAGAAGCACAGGTGTGCATGAAACATGTATTTTCATTTCAGAACCAATTTCCAGAGCAGTTTCATTCTTTGATGTGAGAGGCAGCATCCAGTGCTGAATAGACATAATACTGTCTGTTATTTGTTAAATCATCATAACTGGCTCACATGTCCTTATCAGGGATGTCATGTTTAGGAAAACCATGATTCCCTCAGGACTGATTTCTCATTTACTACTTCAAAAATTATATGTCTCAAGAGAGCTTCTAAAGGCATCTTTGACTGTCTTTTTCCTTCTAGTCTCATTTGTTTTGGTATTATGAATCCTACAACTCCCTAATGTATCATGTGAGGTTGCTGAAGTATATATTCTTGCTGCAACTGAGATGTGAAGGAAGGGGTACTTGTTAAGGGATTACTACTGCTCCTTGCTCAAATGTTCCAGCAATTTCAATGAAGTGTTTATGTCCAGATTTTGTTGTTTATCTGTCAGTTCATTATTTAAGGCCAGTCTGTCAAAATAGGTTAAATATTCTTTGGGAAACATGATCACATCTTTGAGACACCACAAACATGTTTAATACAAAAAGATTGGCTTGATAAAAGAAACATGATAAACTTGCATCCCACAAAATACTTTTCTGTTGTTCCATGTAGATTTCTAAGAGCACCAGTACACAATGACAAATCTCATGGCAATAAATTCCTGGAAAAGGCACAGAGAGACACCAGCAAAGCGGTGAAAATGATTGCTGATGATTTGTTCTAACTACTTGACCTTGTGACATCTCCCCCAGATATATGATCAAGACGGGACGCTGCAGCACTTTATTGATGGTGGGGAACCCAGTAAGTCAAGCTGGATGAGGTATATCCGATGTGCAAGGCATTGTGGGGAACAGAACTTAACAGTGGTTCAGTACAGGTAAAGTATATTTTTATTTACTCAATGCAACAAAATAAAATGTTTTCAGTGAAAAGACAGAATGTAACTGTCACCAGTACTACAGCCTTTGATTGCAAAGACAGTAGCACGGCTTTTGTTCATTTGTTTGCTCATTTGAGGCAACACAAAAGCTGCAGAGTGGAGCTCCTGGAAATAAATACAGCCCCGCATCGCTCATGCGCCCACCACACTGCACAGAGACCTCTGCACTTTTTCAGTCTAATCAGAAGCAAGCTAACGCAAGCAACCCTCTGCCCTTAATAAAGATGCATGTGCTAGAAGAAGGGGAAAAATGGCAGGAGAGGGGCTTTGAGCACAAAAACTTTCTAAGAGTCAGTCATGAAGCAGACATACATCTAAAGCTTAAATGTTCAGTGCACCTGCTAGCCAAGATTGCTAGTGCTTGTGTCTCTTACGTCGCTGGCTAGAGAAGGTCAAAATGTGAAGAAAAATGTAAAGAAATTATGGTGCATTTTACTTTGTACTCACAAACAGATCCAGAAAACCCAAACGACACATTACATAAATACAAGATCTCAGCTATAATCAAATCTTTTGCCTTAGAATCAGAAGCAACTGCTTGGCCTTACTAAACGTGGTAGGAAGCACATCAAAGAATGCCCTGGGCTTGCCAGTCACAATGAGAAATCCTGATTTTCATTTGTTGCTTTAGAGAGTAGAGTTACTTTTCTTTAGGAAGAATCTTAAACTATTTAAAGTACCTTTAAAATTAAAAATAAAACGTACAAAAGCAAGCTAAAATAAAATATATAAAGTTTGATTATCCCATAGGGTTCCAATTTAACAATGGTAAAATTGTTCAATTGCATTTTCAGCTTTTTTATTCTCTGGCCAGTTGACTGAATAATGCTGCAGTTAAAAAAATAACAATCCTATTTATACATTACATATCTTTTATTATACACTTAAGTATCTGATACCTATGCCTAAAATCCCATTAGATTTTAAATAAACACACCGGATAGTGAATAAGGATTGCTGTGATGAAAGAGTATTTTTGTAGGTATCTTGTGAACTATTTCTCAGTGTGGTGGTGTGTGTGTGTACACATACATATATAAATAAGAAAAAAAATATATGCGTACATATATATATATGACAAACCTAAATGAATAGTGAGCATGAGAAAGTCATTACACATCTGTCAATATTAAGTGGATTTTACAACTCTCCTTTCATGATGGAGTTTTTACTTAGAGTTCCCTCTGTTGATCTGTTTTCGATTACTTCAGATCTTTACAAAATGAACTACAAAAACACAATTTAAAAAACTGGCATCCATCACCAGTGACTGCATCCAAGTGTAAGAAAATAGAAAAGTTGGACACTGAAAAACCAGCCTAATTTTTATTGTACATGGACATCCTCCTCACAGAAAGTCAGCTGGTTTAAATTCATTCTGTTATGATTTGTAATATCTAAATGGAATTTTCTTCAAAGTGCTCTTGATTGATTGACCCTTAGCTGAACGTTTTGTTTTTATTTTGAGGCTGACAATAATGTTTGTTGGCATGTGTTCTGCTTCAACTGTGTTGGGACGCCATGAAGCTATCTTTATGAGTCATCCAACCACAATACTAAATACATGTCAGCAAAGGAAATATTATCCGAAAAGGGAAAAATCCCTTTGATGTACTTCAGCATGCAGAGATTTCTGCGAGTTTTGGAAGCTCTGCACGCTTGTAAGGGACGGTGTATGCTTACACTTTTTTTCCTTGCCTACTCCAAGCCCCACAGACCACCCATTGCTCAAAAACAGTTCTGCTCTTTCAGCGGCGAAGTGTGTCATTTGGTTTTAGCACATTCATTTGCCGGGCTGCTGTGTTTATGTTAAGGGAAGCCAAACTGAGAGATGAAATGTTACAAGGGTGAAGTACAAAGTAGACTCAATTTTTCTCGAGTTAGGAGATGCTAGTAATTTATAGCGTGGCTCCGATTTTTATTTTTATGTAACAGTGGAAAGAACTAATGAAATGCATAGCTCTGGGAAGAGAGAGAGAAGAGGAGAGGAGGAGGAAGAGGAGGGAAGGAGAGGGGGAGACACAAAGGGGAGAGTTTTTGTCAGATATTCATAGAAGGGTAAGAAAACCATTCTGCTTAGCTAGCAGTGCCCTCCTGAGACAGGGTGGCAGTAAGCGAGGAAAATAACAAGATAAATGAAATTTTTGCAGCTGCTAGTAAAATATTGAGAATCTGCACTTTTTTATTGATCTGTATGATCCTGTTGCCAAGAGCCACTTTGCGGTGACAAAATATGTTGACAAGTGCATATCTCACTGCCATGAAAAATGTGGTAAAAAGATTCTCCTTATGTCTGCAGTGTTATACAAGGAACAAATTGCATCGCTACAGACAATTCTTTATAGAAAGTCTAAATTTAAGGCCTACCAACTCTAAACACTTTTATCTTGAACTTCAGGCTAACGTTTGTAGCAATTCTTCACTCAGAAAACCAGTTGAGGCCAACATTTTTTTTTTTTTTTTTGGTCTATAGATGTTTTACTGCCTTACATAAGCTGTTGTAAAAAATGGTCATTTCTTGGTACTTTGACTGTATCATTTTGGGTATGTAATCCTTCAGCGAGAGTGGAGGGTTCTTCTTTTACATATTGAATTTCTATCCGTCTCACAGGAGTGTTTTACTGTTCCATGTGAAGCCTAAGGGAAAAGCCACTACAAACTGATACACATTTTTATTTTATCTTGTGCCTGATTCTAACCTCACACAGAGTTTGCCCCCATGTGAATCTGTTAAGTGTAGAAGTATCACTCTGAAGCTATTTACACCAGTGCAAGATCAGGATAAGGCTCTTGTTTTTATGCTAGAGATTCTAGGACTTTTCCTTCCCCCTGTCTCAACACCCAGTTCAATGGTCTAGGACTACCTACAGGTTTTTCCACACAGTGATATGATAAGATACCACATTTACACTAACACTAATTTATACTTACTGAGGGATCATCAACATTACCTCATGTTCCATAAAGGGGAAGATTTTATGGTTTTATGTTCAGATTTACCCCATTTTTGCATTCCCCTAAGTCAAAGTCTGTTTTACTTAGCAATCCAAGATCTCTCTTTTGCCATAATGAAAGGCCATGTTACACTATTTCAAACCTCTTGCTAAATGAACTTGTTAAAATGAAAGAACTGTTGTCTCTTTGCCCATAAAATAAGTTAACTTTAGTTTAGATGACAAATGCAAAGCTGTTTAAATGGTTCAGCTTACTGAACTGGGTGGAGAACTCTGATGCTGCTACTGTGTGAGCAAACTGTAGCATTTCTAAAATCACTTTAAAAGCGACAGTGCAAGAAAATACCTGTTTTTTCATAAAATCTTGGTGCTTGTAAAATCTTACTGTTAAAATGTGCTAGGAATAAAGTGCCTGTAAGCTCTTTCTTACTTTGTGCTAAAGGAACAAAGCCATTTCTTGATGATAAATTTGGTTTTAAAATGATCAGTAAGTTGTTCTTCTAGTTATCTGCAGAAGGGCTTCCAAAACTATGGATTTCTACTGTAATGCTGTATCACACTGTGTATGATAAGAGGAGAATGCTCTATTTCTAAATTGGGCTTTTTTTTCTTTTTCTCTTGATTAGGTCAAATATATTCTACCGGGCTTGTATAGATATTCCCAGAGGCACTGAGCTGTTGGTCTGGTACAATGACAGTTACACATCTTTCTTTGGAATCCCTCTCCAGTGCATTGCACAAGATGAAAATTGTAAGTTCTTCCTTGAATTTCTACCTCTGTAAGCCAGAATTCCTGTTTCATACCTAATCAGTTATATTCCTAGAGTATTCTAGGACATATTAAATTAAATCTAAGGTAAGATTGATGTGTTCAAAATAAAACCCTGAAGCTGATACACTTAAGCTGTGCAAAATCATGGTATGGTTATCTAAATAAATTGAGGTGTTTGGAAGTGTGCAGATATATGCAGTTAAATAGCAGATTTCATAGAATTATAGGATCATAGATGCATAGAGTCATGGATGCATTTCCTACCGTGGCAGCCCCGCATAGCTTGGTAGTGTGTAGAATCACTCTTCTAAGTGATTCATTCCTGGTCTATTCCTAACTAATATGCTTGGCCCTCTCTGTTGTTATCAGACCTATCCCAAGACACTGTCTTGCCAAAGCAGAAATGTACTGCAGGTCTATGAGGCCTCTGTTAGTGATCTTTCATTCTATTATCATTGCCTATGTTGAGAAAAGCTTTGTCTGACTGATTATAGAGATGAGATCCTTGTGGTTAAAAGGTAAAAGCCAGCCTCTCTAAATAATAACTGAATGTGAGTAATCTGGAATGAGAATGAACTTCCATTCCATCCTAGCCATTCCCATTTCCATCCATTCTTCTGCTCCTTCTCAATATTTTATTTTTAGTTTGCTAGGAATTGCAACAAAATTAAGCATGTAACTCTAACACAGACCCAGTGCAATCTAGAGCTGGATATGAGTAATCCAAGCACACCCTTCAGTTTCACTGTGTGTGGAACGTGATTAGAGATTGCATTAAAGACCTCACTTCCATTTTGACAGCTATGTGTATCTATATGGTGGAAGAAACTAATAATGGATGTCTAATTGGCTTTGGTCTAAAGTAACCCTGTGGCTATCCATGCTTAATTACATACAAGATGTATTTTTTTGGTCAAGTACTTGGTTACTTAAACAGCAATGATAGGATGAACTCGTGTCTCGTAGCAACTTAAATACTCAACTATACAGTAATAAACCAGCAAGATAGCAGGCATTAAACTGATAAAAATAAACACCCTTTTTCATCTTGAGTTTCGAAATCTGTTGGGCTTGAGAAAGGTTTAAAAGAAATTTAATTACTGGCAGTAATGTTTGCTGATAAAACTCACGCTCTGCCGTGTATAATATAGAAATATTATTTTTTCTTTCATGAAGCTTATAAAACCTTTATTTGAAAAGCAAAGCATTAAGCCTAAAATCTCTAACTATTGTCACTTGCTATTTTGATGTGAGAGAAACCAGAGTTTCATCCACAGAGAAACTGACATGAATAGACGAAATTCATCTCTGAGCATAGAGAAGCAGGCTTGATTGACTTCAGTACCACTTAAGCCTTCAGAGTAGACCTTCTGCTTATCTTCTGCACACGAGTAGTTTCACCAAGTACAAATTCTGCCTATATTCCTTAGATCTTTAATATACTCATCTTATTACTTCTGTGGACTTCTACGGATAGAATATCCACACTTCTCATGTGAGGATGTTGGGGCAAAATGAAAGTATACAAATTGCTTCTTGTAGTGAAGAGACATAGAAGATGCATTGTATGTCTGGAAACTTCTGTTAGACAGCCTAATCGATGTAACTCTCCTTAGAAATCAAGTCCTCAGATACTCCAGAAAAGCATAGACTAGGAAGGACCTCAACTTAATTAAAGTAAATAGCATGTAATATTATAATATTGGAGTCGTTACGATTGGTGGAAGGTATTAGAACATAACTCTGTGAAGTAACTGGCATTATTTAAGGTATTACCAAAACATTAGTTTGAGTTACGGTTTAATTGTACATTAAATAATATTAGATGATTCCAACTTATAACTGAAATCAAATTCTCATATTTGTCCTTAGAAACCTAAAATCATGTCTTACCTTAACAGAGTTGGAGTTTCTAATCACCTACTCAGTAGGTGCTGTGTACTTATACACTTTGTGAGAGTAACTGTGTGAACGTATGCAGACATAAACATATGCATACAACATATTTAATTTTAGAATCTCCATTAAAATATTATCTGATGAGGTTGAGTGTGCCAAAATTGGAAAGCATGAAAAGGTGCTGGGCCCAGGTGGCCTAAATTATGCTTCTTTTGCATTGTGGTACAATTTTTCATTAGCTGACCCTATTTTTCCATAGGACTCTTGCTTCATTCACTGCATGAACTAGATGATACTCAAGGAGTGAGGCAGCAGCTGAACTTTCTTCTATATGTTTTACCTCCTGCCTGCTATTAGCCTTAATCATACGAGTCATGGTGAAGTCACTGCTTTGTGCTGTAGGGGCTGTGTGACTATTTGTAAGATGCAATAGTATTATATCCTTAGTAGCTGCCCTTTGAGAGGATAAGGGAACTATTGCAGCAGTAAGCCCTGTCGTATCTCAAGGAGTGCCTGAGGAAGTGTTTTTTCTCCATGCTCTCAAAATTCATGCTTGTCTGTGATAGAGCAATTGGACATGCTGACTGCAACATGCAGAGTGAGGGTATCACAAGTGCAACAGCATTTTCTTTCAGATGACAATCCCATTTGTGCAATAAATGTATATCCCAATCAGGCTTCTCTTTAGTTCTTCTAGTCTCAGATACTCCTTTGCATGAGTTTTCATTTCAGTGTCACAGAAACAGCATCATCCATTGAGATCACTGTCTCATTCAAGCCCATTTTTTTTTTGTGGATTGTTAAAATAAAGTTGTTTAATTCTAGTGTCAAGAAAAATGGATGTTGGTATTTTTTTTTTGGTGTGTCCCAAAACTGTATTAGTTTTAAAAAGGCATCTTATTTACTTTTCTTGTTTTCTCCCAGTGAATGTCCCTTCGACTGTAATGGAGGCCATGTCCAGACAAGACACCCTACAGCCATTTAATAAAAGTAGCAAACTATCCCCTGCCACTCCACAGCGATCCATAGTATTTCCACAGACTCCGTGTAGCAGAAATTTTTCTCTCCTGGATAAGTCTGGGTCCATCGAGTCAGGATTTAACCAGATCAGTGTCAAAAACCAACGAGTTCTTGCAAGCCCAACTTCAACAAGCCAACTAAATTCTGAGTTCAGTGACTGGCACCTTTGGAAATGTGGGCAATGCTTTAAGACTTTCACCCAGCGGATCCTGTTACAGATGCATGTGTGTACGCAGAACCCCGACAGGTAAAGCCTAGGCTCTCTTTGTTTCTGTATCTACTGATAGCCAGATCCACTGCTTTCTTCTTTTATCAAGCTGTTATCATTTCCAAAACCAAACCATTATTAGGAGGAGCCTGTACAACATAATTCATCTGCAGCTGTGTGAAGTAAGCCGATAAAAACTATTGCTTGACTTCACTATTTCTACAAACATTTGGTGCCTAAATGTGCAGATAAAAGGAAATAGCTAAGGATATAATCTTGTTTTCAGAATCGTTTGGTACATCTGATGGAGACAACAAAATAGAAGGAAAATTTATGAGTATCATAGGTGGAAAAATGAGGTCAGGATAATCAAAAGTCTCTCTGTCTTCCAAAGATAATCTAACTTGCTGCTCAGTGGCTGTCACAGTCATTTCAGGGTTCACCTATAGTGTGCAATGTGTATGAACTTAATTAAGTACTAAGAGGTAATGAATTGGAATTTTTTGCTTAGTACTATTTTTCTTCAGAGCATGCAAACCCATAAATCGTGCAAAGCTGTCAAAAGGAAATACCTACTCCACTAGTGATGTGGAGGAAAACAGATGCCACTTATTCAATAAACTAATATCCACACAGAAGAAAAATGTTGACTAGATACCTCAGAGTCAAAGTTGGTTTGAAAGTTTGTCAATACAGAATTTTATGGCTGTGAGCTGAGGATGAAATTTAGCTGAACAAGTGAATTAAAATTTCAGGTACTCTGACTAGTGGCACAGTAAATATAATGGAACCATTATTTATGAATCAAACCTGGTTTATTTGACAATTTTGATAGCTGGCAGGACAAAAGACAAAAATCAAATTAATTCAATAAAAAAGGCTGCCCGAGGCTGTCTCTTCTTCAGCTGTGAAGAAGGTATGAGAAGATCATTCTAAAACCAGCATTTAATTGTGAATTACACTTAACTGAAACACTACCAAAAACCAGTAAACAGAGAGTCTGTGCACATGTTTGTATGCATGTCTGTGTCTCATTGTGTACGTGGTTATATACGTGTACACATTTGCTTGTGTGATTCTGTCATGTGGAGATAGTGAAGTATAAATCCAGTTTCCCAAGAAGAAATGTCAAACATGGTAAGGGAAAATCTGCATAGAATTTAAAGAGTTGATAATATTGTGAATGCGAACAAGCCCTTTCAATATTTTCTGAATTTGGTGGTGGCAGAAACAACCACCATGCTAAGAAAGTTGTAGGACATGACTGCCAATTTAAATGCCACGATGTAGAGTATAGGTCCTGACAGATCCACTCTACTAAGTTTCGTGGACTCTTATATTTCCAGTATATTAAAGAATCCTAAGCATACTGTAAACCATAATATGCTCCACCAGATGGTCTAGAAGAGGTCTGTTGTGAGGCTTCCCCACATACTTTTTCAGTGACTCACCTAACAAGGTGTGATGCTTAGATTTCATCCTTTCCCTCACTTGAACCTCTGTCTTCGTTTATGAAGAACCAAGCTGCGGATAATAGTTAATGCAAGAAGAGTCTCCCCTAATGGGGCTTTTCTGCACTCTAAGGGGTAGTTAAATATTCATTCTGCCAGAGAGAGAAAATTAGAGTAGTTTTATCCTACAGTTAGATCTGTTGTCTTGGAGGTGAGAGATTGGGTTTTTTATTTTTATTTGTTTTGTCCTAGGTATATTATGTCAAATATTGCCTGAAACACAGGCTACATTTTAAGTCTTCACTCTTAGAAGTGAACACCCTCATTAGTAGGTTACTGATTCATGTTATCTTTCTGTTTTGTCTCTCCCATGCTTGCCTAATTTGTCCATGCAGAACAGCTTCAACAAGAAAGTGTAGAGCATTTTTAGCTCAGAATACCCTACAGCCTAATAGGAAAATTATCTAGATCAGAAGATGAGTTGGCTGCCCCAGGAGCAGAGAGAGAAAAGGGTTATTAGAGAAAGAACCCAGCAGATCTGGGAAGGATTGTGGTAAGGACTCTGACTCATACAGGTTGAATCCCAGCAGCTTTCAGGAAGATTCAAAAGATAATAGCTAACGCCTTTTTCTAAATATTGATACTGGCTAATTCAGCTGATATCCTCTTTGGAAACCTGTTCTTAAGAAACATTTTCTCTTGTGTTATATAGAGAGCATAAAACCTAAATGAACTTGTAATACACTCTTAGAATCAATCTATCTCCTGCATAGATACTAGATACTGCAGTGCTTTGATCTGTGACACCTGTGTTCGCTACGTACTGAAAAATAGCTTACATCTTTATGTTTTCACTAAACAAGTTGTGCAGACTCCTTTTGGAGGCCAGTTTTATAATGCCTTCTTTGTTCCCACGAGGCGTGCCACCAACATAACTGCTGTAAAAGCATTTCCCAATAGGTTTATTTAGAGCATTATGTGGGATATCAATCACACAAATCTGTTTAAGCTCACTGCCATTAATTCAGTATGTGAAATTACCAGAGTAACAGTTACTGCAGATCCTAACTCCCCTAGGATCTGGGTTCTCATATCCCTGGTTAGAAGTCATTACATGTTGATCTTACATCAGAGGTAGCTTTTTGTCTTTTAGCAAGTACCAGTAGATCAGCTATTTAGTGATACAGTGGCTGGAAAACAGTTGTCTTTGGTTTCTTAAACATACTACATTTCTCCAGATGAAAAATTCCTGAACTGCTGTATAAAATTTCCAGGAGACAAGATAGATACCTTCTTGCTAGCCTGAAGTCCTGGGTGCAACATTCTGTTTTGTATTTTCTCAACAATATCTGTAGCACCACTCTGGCTGATAAACAGCTTCCCATTTATTGTCAGCAATTTGTGAGCACACCAGCCACTGTTTCTCTGATGTGACTGAAACAGCAGAGCCTGTCTTCTCTAGGAAATGACTTTAGACTATCTGTTCTTGCTTGGTATTTGTTTTTCAACAGTGCCAATTACCTACAGCAAGAGATGCAGGGAAAATGTTTTTGAATCTATAGAGGAATCCAGTTCATGGACTGAAATTTGAGAAAAGCAGACTACTTGGTGCTAGAGAAATTAAAAAAGAAATAAAAAATTACTTGAAAGCCACTTAGATTCAGAAAACATCTGAATGAGGTCAGATACAAAAAAGGCCGAATATATTTAATTCCATTAGGCAGTAAGAAGGAAATGGTCCTATTTATCAGGCAGATGATTTAAAAAATAAAATAATAATTAAACAATTATGAATAAAAAGTAGAATTATTAGAATAAGCTAAATTTGGAGATTGTTATATTTTGTAGGGCTTGTCTTCGAACTTATTGTTAACTGGGTGTGGATGAGTATGGAAAATGAAGGTTTAAATCCATCAAGATTTTGATTCTGAGACTTCTGACTCTTTGGGACTTTTTTTAAGCTTTGCCTGGACTGAAGCAGTTTGAGCAACTATTTCTTGAAGCAGAAGTCAGAAATCTATTTAATCTTCTTATTTATTTGTTTGTGTATTTATTTATTTGAAATTTGTTGTGGTGGTTGTTTCTTCCCCCACTGCAGAAATTCTGAACAATCCTATTTGAGGTGTCTCCAGAAAGGAGTAACTGAAAGCCTCTGATCACAGTGAAATCATTTTTAGAGCAGTATTTTAAATTTCTCTTATTTTTTTTTAAACAGCAACCACTTTTCTAATAACGACAGAGTCTCTTCTAATGACATCTTTCTTCTTTCACACCACGATCACCAGATTCGGGATGTATTGGTGTGGAGGAAAGGCAGATTGCCGCAGTTCCCAAGAGCTGTCTCTGACATATTTTCATATACAATATGTACATCTGTGATATATATTCTCACTGACTGCCATGTATTTAACCTGATAATTTGAGGGAAAATCTACTCTATATGTTCTATCTGTACCTGATAGACTGTGGATGTTTTCTGGCACTTGTAATTCTTGTTTACTCTGTGTTTTCCTGTAGCACCTCAATTTTAAATTGTGATTTTAAAAACACCAAACAAAAACAACCAAAACCAGGACTATGAATTTCAAAGTTGGCAATGTAATAGGTCTTTTTCCCCAAGATCATAGCTCAGCCCATTTTGTGTTTTTTCTTTTCCGTTATAGGTTCTGTGTCTTTGTCCTTGATGTTCTCCCCAAGTCCACTAATTAATTTAAACATATCCCAGAACAGACCTAAAAAAAAGTAAACGTTGTGAGAAGACTTGTCTATTTCTGCTTATGGAGTGGCTATGCAATATTGCTCAATAAAAGTAAGCATCATGCTGAATTTAATGTTTATTCTTACATAATCTTTTCACAAAAGTTTGGAAACTACCTTTCCATAGGACAGCTGTGACCTAACTCCTCTGGCTGCAGCTCTGCCCTTAATGCTGTGTTGTACACAGGCCTGGCCCTGAAAGCTGTTTCTGGGCCTATTTCAGTGTGCCCTGCTTTCAGTTTTTGCACAGCCTGTGGTGTGTCAACCTTCCCCCTGTCATGCTGTGAAACTGTGCCCTGGCTCCAGTGGATCCATATGTCCCATGCTTGGAGACCATGATATGAATCAAATTGATTTTTCTACTCCTTCTGAGTCCTCACCAAGGAGAAATGCACTTTCAATTGCATGTTAGTCCCTCTTCTTTTAGCTAGTGCTTTTCTAGCTTTTTATAAGAGAAAGAAATTACAGCAATGTGCTATTTTGTCTCCCTGATCTGACAGTGTTTCAATGATAGAGTTACTGGTATTCAGGAACTCATCATTACAAGCAATTGCTCTTCTAAGGGTTGTGCTGGGATTCCATATGCTTCCGAAAACAACAACTTCACTTCTGAAGATGCCTCACTGGAAACCTGTTCATCATAAAAGAAATAATTAGAAAATTAAGTGGAAAATAATTATAAGATTTTCCAGGATTCTAATAATTCAGACCAGGAATAATTTTAAATGTAGAAAATAAGTTTACATTGGCTGGATGTACTTACAAATCAGAAGTTGGAAAGTACATTATTCTAGCAGAGGAATAGTACAAGATAAATATTTAAAATCTGTGTCACTTTTGGTAAGTGAAAATCTAAAAAGAATCAACCTAAATAATCTAAAAAGAATCAACCTAAATGTCCAGTTGTCTGTCGGGAGCTCTTCCAGATGCAAAGATACGGATTTTTCTATTGTTATCCCTTAACATGCCCCGAAGCAGGAGTTTTGGTGAGGTTCAACAAGCCTCACAGGAGAACATGGGTTTTGTACTGGTCCTATACATTATGTACTTTCACTCAGAAAAAAATCAGTTACAAAAGTGAGAAAATTCTAAGATGAGAAAAGACATCACCAAACAGCAAAATCCTCCAAGAGATTATTCAAATTAGGGAGCAAAATGTATTCTCAACTGGTTTCATTTTAAGAATGTAACTTGAAAAAATTGGAAAAGCTCACAATCTAAATAACTGCAAAACTTGAAAACCATTACATTACAGTTACTCCTTTCTGAATTTCACTTTAAATGATCTGTGTTTCTGTAGTGGTCCATAATACAGTTAGGGGCTGTAAGACTAGGATCTCTAGAAAAAGCTGGTGTTAAGTAAACTTAGACAGGTGATTAATGGTGTATGGGGTTAATGATGACAGTGTCATTTTTCTAACAGGAGAATTTGCTTCTAGGTAAGTAGATTTCCTTTCTTTAAGCTCAGACAGGAAGACAGAGAACTAGAAAAATATGTAGCTTGGTGTTTTATGAAAAACATTAGAACCATTTCTGATGGCTGTCAGCACATCATTCTCCTCTGCACATTGCTATGTATCAGTTTGGCTGTTCTTAAATATAACTGAAAAATCCTATATGAGAAGGTTTTGATCATCTGGAAAAGCTTGCAAGATCCTTTGTATAAAATTCAATGATCACATATTCAAAACTATGTTCATGACAACTCAAGGACAAATTTTTATAGAACAAAATATTTCTTCATGTAGTCAGCGTGTACTTCAAGAGCTTGGTATACCTGTTTTGTCAAACTGATTACTTTCATGCTTGCTAATCTGCCTATACCTCTGCAAAGGAATATTTTAGTTATGTAGGCTTTCACATATGAAGTGTTCATTTTGTTTGAACATTAATTTTCTGGAGGATCAACACACATCTGGACTGTGACACAACTGTGCTTATATTCACGTACATACCTTGAAGCTCAAGAAGGTACAATATGATCTCAGTTATTCCAGTGAGTTTTTCTGGTCTGGGAGTACTAGACTAGCAGCACATCTTTAAAATACAGCCTATGAACACCATCATTTTTGTCATTATGTCCCTGTTCCTTCTGTCTGCAAACCTCTACTGTAAAGAGGTCACCATCTTAATTTGTTGTTCCAGTGCAGACCAAAGTGATGGCAGAAGACATAACTGTTACATCAAAGACAGGCTTGCTTTGCCCATGTCAATGTACTCACTGAACCGAGCATTGCTCATGTTCAGTCCTTCTGCAACACTTTCATTTTTTTAAAAAACAACATATTGATTTCATTTTCTGCCAAGAAAAATTTCAGAGAACAGTAAAACTGTTACCAGAGGACAAAATGATAACTTCTATACTTATTGAATGACTTATTTTGCTCTTGTAAAAAACAGTTATCCAAAACTTGTCAAAAATTGGCATATTTGAATCTGCAACTGTGCAAATTAGATACAGCATTTTAAAATAGTTACAGTATTTAAATACATTTATAGTTTTTCTTTTTAAAATGAGCTTTGTTTAATGTGGCATATATTTAGATTGAAAAAAATACTTATTCTGAACATTTTAGTATTAATCAGAATTGCCTGTGTATCAACTGGAGAAATGCATCCCCTGCAAAGAGAAGGATAACTTCTTTAATAGTTTTTCTCCTTAGATATGGATGAATGGCAAAAATACAGTCAAAGTGACCTAGCAATAGGTGACTTTTTACACTTCTCTTTTTCTTGAGCATCAGCCAGTGAAATGTGTTCTGAGTGCATGTATTAATACCCTTTGTAAACAAGAAATTAGTTTTGAGCCAGTGTAGGGGTAAAAACATTTTACTTGGCATTATAATGTTCAGTTGTAACTGGTTTGGAATTTTGACTATTTACAGGCAAGTTATGGTATGACTTTTCCCTATATGAAATTAATCACATTGACTTAAAAAAATAAAAGCTTAATTGGTTTTATGTAGTGTTGTATCATTTATTGTGGTAGCTGTTAAAAATAGATAACCAGAGGCTAATAGATGTTAATGGTCCCTTTCACTATTAAAAAAATCAATGTTTCTTGGAAACAGAATATCTTAATGTGTTATTTTTTGCTTAAAAGTGTTTGATTTGAAAATATCCAAACAAATAAATATGCATTCACATATCATCTTTGTTTTAGCAGCTCTTGAATTTTCATGTCAAGTTCAATAAATATTTTGTGTGCAAATTAACTGTGCACTTTGAGTAAGGAGAAGACTGGGCATGCTACTACTTGTCTTCCAATAAGAGACATATATTCAGTATTTATTTTTCTGTTAAAATATTATTTTACATATCTTGTGTACTTTTTTAAGTACATCTAGGTTAAGTAACCTTTCCACAGCTTTTATGAATTTCTTTCAAACTTGTTGGAGAGCAGTTAGATTTTCAAATGTAAGTAATTAAAATTGTAAGCTATTGAGTTATTGACCAATACTGAGCTATTAATCAAGCTAAAAAATTCTACAATCAGGGTTCAGTGCTCTGAAGCACTGTAAAATAATAGTATTTGTGTTCAGTGATGCAAGTAGCCACAATTAAGCAGTTCACTTGACAAATGAGATAGTTCACTTTATTTTGCACTTAATTGAATTGTACATGCTTGGTCGCCATTGTCTCCTTCCTTTTAGTTTTGGTTTCTAGCCATTTAAACATACACATTTATTAAAGAGAAAGCAATTAAGTTAGAGGTGGCCTTTTGCTCTAGAAATGAGACATCAAGAGCTCTGACCTATAATGTTGTACAGGGTTGAAATCATTAATACCCATCTAGAAAAGAATCTTAATTTTCCTAACAAAAAGTCTGATGAGATTGTTGGACTTTGTTGCTAACTTAACTGAAATATCAAAAGGAAAAAGAGCCATGTAGGATGTTGTTATCAAATCACTTTTACCAAACAGAAATATACAGACATTGTTACCTCACATTTTATTTTAGTTAGCAATGGTATTTGTGTGTCGGCAGTTCTGTCTCACCTTTCTGTCCCTTATCCTTTCTTTTCTGTGTTTGCAGTCTGTTTGTTATGATTCTGAATTTGTAACATATCAGTCAGTTTTGTTTGTCTGTTATGTTTGTTTTTAACAAATTGTGGTGTTGAAAACCTAAGCTCTGGGTTTCATTTCAAGATCATAAAAAGAAGTGCTTTCAGTCTGGATGGGAGAAATATGTTAATTAGATGCAAATGTTTTCAACAGCAGTAAGAAAATAGAAAGGTAATTGTAACATGGTGATTATCTATTCCGTTGTCTCTCATTGAAAAAGGTGATCTCAGAAAATCTAGATTCCTCCAGACCAATATGAAGAATTTAATTCAGACAGTTACAGAACCCACCTAGGATATAGATTTAACAATCAGACATTCATTTGTAGGTAAGACTGTAGCTGGCACCAACAGAGGATTTCATGAGTCTCTTAGTTCAGATGTGTGGATGTGTGAGGAGGTTTTTTTTGATGAAGGAGTACCATATTGAGTTTGGGAGGAATAAAGCAGGCATATGATGTGTAATGTTGGCTCATAGCTTGATGAATTATATTTTGTGGGGCAGGATGCCCGCAGACTCTCAGTCAATTCCTGCCCAAGCATTTCGCGTTTGATAAAGAGATGATGAAACTTTAGGTATGTGTCTCCCGAGAAGGCTCCAGAGAAGTGTACCCACAGTTCTCTTTGCAAGTTGTTGGGAAGACCAGATGTTCCTGCCAGTATAGTTTCCTGCTTAAGTCAATAGAAAGCACTGATGGTGTTGCATTTCTCTTTTTCACTGCAGGCCCTACCAGTGTGGTCACTGCTCCCAGTCCTTCTCCCAACCTTCAGAGCTGAGGAACCATGTAGTTACACACTCCAGTGACAGGCCTTTCAAGTGTGGCTACTGTGGTCGTGCCTTTGCTGGTGCCACAACACTCAACAATCATATCCGGACACACACTGGGGAAAAGCCCTTCAAGTAAGTACTTGAAGCCAGCAGCCTTTGCCAGCTGAGATTAGAGAGGGAAATGCATTGCTGCTGTTCACTAGCATCTCTGCTCCATACCAGCACAGGGCAGAAGTTCCCTTGAAAGCCAAGGTCAGACCACCAGATATAACCACCCTTAGTGGTGTGGCTAAAATCAGAATAAAGCCAGGCTTGGGTCTTGGTGACTTGCTAGCCTTGAAAAATTTTCTGTCTTCTGATGAGAATTTGATTTTTTAATGAAATGACAAGCTGCTGTGAGGGAACCATAGCTGAAAATACACAGGTTGTGATGGAAGGAAATTAATATGATTCTTTGATGTCTGTATGATGAGTTAGATGCAACTTCACATTAAAGCTAATTTGGATCTGGTCAAATATAGGGGAGAAATAGTCATCTTTTTTTTAGTCTCAGAATCACTGCACAGAAAATGCAACTCTGGCATGTGACATAAGCGTGGTAAGATCATAGTAGTAAATTGGTAATGTTAAGCTGTCCAAGATATAAGAAAAAAAAAAAAAAAGTCACCTGGTCAAGATGGTTTTTAATTAAACAGACTGCCTATTTCTGCAGTTTCTGTTTACTAAAATTAAAGCCAAGCACACAACTGCATCTCAGAAATAATTTTCCCTCTATGCTCACCTCCAGCTACAGCACAGCTGGCCCAGGTAGATTTTACCTTCTGTTATGCAAGATTCTGCTTGCCTAACAGCAGGTGTTCTTCAATACAAAATACACATTTTCCATATTTATGCCCATGTCTTTGGTGAACCGACAGCCACAGATTTTACGGATATTTTACCTGGAACCAAAGTTTCACTTTGGAAGAAAAAAGTAGTATTGATATCAATTTGTAATGTATTGATATCACTTAATTGGGAAGCTACCTGATGTTCCTGCGAGAAATGAGAATAAGTGTAGAGGAAGGTGTGTGTGTCCCTTCCAGTTCTCCAAGGTCTGCCTGTCCCCCATCTACTTTTCTGTGTTTGTCTCCTTTTCTACTTTTGCCGTCCTGTGCTCTCTGTCTGGTTAATGTAAGAGAGCTCAGCCATGGGGCCTGTCAGAACCCCTCATAACAAGCTTGGTAGAGATACCAGTAGAGATGCTTTGCCTCCATATATGGCTGGAAGGAAGCATGACTTCTGTACATGTCTCTGCTGGGGGCAAGGGGACAGAGCCAGGAACCAAATGCTGCACATGCAGGACAGAAGAACTTGCATACCAGAAGTCGTAGCTAGGATAGGTTTGAGGTGGCAAAACATGGAAACTCAGAGCATCTAAACATGGGCTCTTCTAGAGCCAGTTTGTTGAATGCTCAGAGCCCATGGAAAATGAGCCAAAAATAGTGTGAGCAATCAGATTGATTTTATCTAGTTGCTGTGTAAATAGATTTTAGTAATTAATGGAAGAGGTTTCCGGGTCAAAATGGGAAATAGATTTCTTTTAATGTTAAGGTGTTACTTATGTGTAACCTTGTTGACTCCACTTAATTTTTTTCCTTAACATCCTGTTTTTGTCATGTTTCCAATAGATCTGCTATTTTGCCCCATTTAGAGTCATTATTTTTCCCCTTTCGTTTGGTATTTTTTTTCTCCTTTTCCAAAACGGTCTTGACTACCACACAATTTCATTTGTGAAAGGGCTTAATGTATGTACTGCAATTAACCAGTGGTTTGGAATTTGTTTTTTTGCCTTGCCCTGCTTATGCTGAAGTATTTAAGTATTCTGGGATATATCTGGCCATCCTTGAAGCTGCATGCCGGAGCAACAAAAAATGTGGATGATCTGTGCTGTTTCTTTCTAATGTATGGCATAATTTCATTCTTGCAAGATTTTTATGCATTCTTGCAAGATTTTTATGCAGTTTATTCGTTAAACTCAAGAAACAGTAAAGTACCAGTTTCTCTCTGGAAGACCTGCTGAAGTATTTGCAGTAAGCTGACTAGTAATTTCACATGAAAATTACTAGTAATATTAGCATGAAAACTACTAATTTTTTAACCCTAAAACTGGAGCTACAGATCTTCCAATCCCTGCTAGTCAGGTAAGGGTACGTATACACCCTGATCCTGCAAGCTATTCAAAAGGGCAGATTTGCCTTCCCTTGCTTGCATTTGAGAGAGTAGGTGCAGAAAACTTGTCCAGAAATTGATCCACCCACTCTGCTGGAGGAAAAAGAGATAGCAGCAGCTCATCTTGATGTCTCATCACCATCGTGCAAGACCTGGTACTAAGTAAGCTTAGAGGGGGAAAAAATCAAGAAATACTAGGAAATAAAACTGTAAATGGGACAAACAAGATTTCTGTCTCTTGCTTATGCAATTTAGTTTTAAAATGTTTGTTTAAAAAGGGATTTTGAGTGTAAAAAAAAGTGTAAAATGGAAAAGTGTGTATTTATGGTAATGTACTTACTTCTGGTGAATAATATTTTTACTATTAGCAAGAACAACCATGCATGGGTAGTGCTAAATTATTTTTCAATAAGCTAAGTTATTTTAAAAGGAACAGACATAGTTTTCAAGGCATAACCAATTTCATAGATGAAAATGGGCAGTTAGCTGGGCGGTTAACTCACATCTACTGTGAATACAATCTCACCATTTCTAGTGCAGCAAGACAGTTAGGCTTGTAAGTGGCATTTGGACAAATTACAGTGTGCATGGATTAAGAAGGCAATGTCAAACACTTAATGTATCTTTTTATGCATATTGTTTTTGGAAGCTGGTTTTAAAAATGCTGAACATAGGGTGACTATTTTAAAATACTGGGTTTAGAGGTCTAAAAAGACCTCTAAAAGAGGTCTGATTGGTTGAAAAAGATTTTTCTGTGAGAAATGCTTTCTTTGTAGGTCGTAGGCAACTTTGAATGTGTGGTGGAAGACTTTTTCTATTTGCTTTTCATTATAGATAACAATGCTAAGTGAGGTTATCTGTAGTCAAAGCTTTAGCTGCATTGCCTGGACTGCAGGTCCAGTTAGAAGGGATTTCTTTTCATGTCATCACAAGCTATCAAGTCAGCCTCACCACTGTAAAGTTTTTGTGTATTCTTATCTTACTGAAGTCTCCACTATGGCTGCTAGTCTGGGAACAAAGCTCTGAAGAAATTTAAAAGGTAGGAGATAGGAAAATTATGTATTCTTGGGTGAAATGTTAAAATGCTTATTTTGAAAATCTCAAATGAAGACATTTTTCCTTAAAATAGACTCTCAGCATTTTCTTCACCCAAAGCCTTTCACAGACTGTGACATAAACTTTGTAATTAAACTAATCCTGTCATATAATCCTCAATGTCAGTCTTTTGAAAGCATTGTGAAGCAAACAAGCAGACCAGTGACAATGAGGGCTATCTAACCAAAATCATAGAACCCAGTATCTTACAAATATCCAAAACCCATTGATGTTCATGTTTTTACTATGCCCACACAAGCAAATCACATAGGGAAATCTTGTGGTAGAATGAAGCCTTGTGTTTGGCGAGGTTGAATATTGTAGCACAACATTGCTGCTTAGAATTAAAATGGAGGCACAAACACATTGTAAAAAAAAAAAAAAAAAAAAGATGACATGTATCCAGTTTTCACTAATGGCATCTAATTGTGTGAGGACTTTTAAATTGCTACTTCAGATCTACGTTTTGTCAGGGGCAGTTTATATCACTTTCAAATGTCCTCAGATGGCTTAAGTGCAAACTAAGTGGTCTCTCAGCTAACATCATTACTGATAATACTTGTACCTACACTTGAGGCTTTACCAAAAATTTAATATATTTCTAATAGCCAAGCTTGGGCTTAGCCTCATGGTTACTTTGTGAGTGGTCACATGAGACGTAGACTCTTTTTCTTCTCTGACTGTTTCGGCTACTGTTCAACTGTCCAACACAACATTAAAAGTATGACTGGAGTACAGAAACATGCACACAAGAACATGCACACACATGATCACCAGTCTTTGTAGACATAGGTCATTCCAGTGGTTATTTGCTGTGACAGGCTGTGAAAGGATGGTTGATAAAGGGAATGAGTACATCGTAATTCAAAAGGAAAGATATTCCTGCTTTTCCTACCATTCCCACCTACTGTGAGATAGTTGTGGTGACTGCTGTGACACTATCATCTTCACCTTTCCTATCAGTTTGTATGCAGCAACAGGTTTTCTGGACCACATTGAAAAGAGAAGTCAGGGGCTTAAAACATGTCCCTGCCTGTAAGCCAGGCACTTACATATCCAAAACATTTAGTCCTGAAAATACCATCCGCACCCTTTGCAGGTGCCTAGAAAATATTAGGCATCTTAGGTAATATCTGAAGGTTACCCAGCTACATGAGAAAGCCAGGGGAATTAGGTGCCTTGCCAAAGGCTTCATTTGGACTTTTTCCAGGGGCTGTACACTGCAGATAGCATAGCCTTACCAGCAGTGATACTTGGCACCCACATCTCTCCCATCCAAAGGGTAGATGCTTGTAACGAGAGATTTATTCTTTCCCGGTCTCTCTTTAGCATCCTTCTTTTCTGTGACTGGATGAGTATTTCCCAGAACAGTGTGTAGCTGGGAAGTTAGAGCACTCTGATGGCAGAAGAAACTTGTGGATAAAGGTCAGGAACTCACATTTGAAAGAAATACAGTGAGCCTTACTCTGTGCTTTCAAGAGCAATGCAAGGGGCTGAGTGAATGCAGTGCCCATCTTTAATCTCCCAGACAAGCTCCAGAAAGGGTAAGGAGGCCTGCCACAGCTTCATGGCCAGTGTTTTTAATAAGTAGCTCTATCTTTTGGTCACGTTGTAGCCTTACTTTGATTCACATATGGCCCTATGGCATCCTGGTATAGTATGTTTCATTTATTTAGATGGACATTCAGAAATCAGGTGTTGCCACACCTGATTTTGTGAGTTATTTTGCATCTTTACCATTTACAGCTTGGTTAGAAAAGGAACCAAGCTTCCTATTATTCAGCAAGAAAAGCACCGGTCTTTGTAGATATCAAAATAACAAAACTATCAAGTTTAAGTAGATGGCAATATCTCATACAGACTAAGTTAACCCCCAGCCTTAAAATTGATTCTAATGCCTCTGTGATAGACATATATGTATATATATGTATATAAAAATAATACAATAATTTGCAAGTTTGTCAGGCAATGAAAGGTAGTATATTTTGACACACTAATCCAGTAACTAATCAGTTTTCTAATAAACAATCAGCAGTACACTAATGTGTCATCAGCACTTCAGGAGCTCTGGAGAGTGGATGATCTGCACATAGACGCTAATGAATACCCCAAAAATCATTAAGTAATCAATACTTCTGAGTTATTTTCATTGAGCTGATAGGTCTGATACATTAAAGCTGACATTTTACATTTGTCAAGATCACAGTGCAGTTTTTAACAGTGGAACAGGCTGCTAAAAATACTCCATGAAAGACAATCAAAGAAGCACAGCTTAAAAGTGTTGACATTTTAGATTGGTATGGTAGCTTGGATGAATGATTCTGTAATGTCTGTGCTAAATGATCCTGAAGCAGAACTTTCTTACCAAAAATTACTAACGTGAAGAACATACTACAGTTATTCATATTTGTAAATATCTTTCATCTTTTTTTTTTCTTTTGTGAGCAGCTAGATCAGTGACAGTTCACTTTTTATCATTCGCATCAGTGAAGAGAGAAAGATGAATACGAATTAGCTGAGCTCTTTGTTTTCCTCATTTCTCCTTTGAAGGTGAAGAATTCATCATAGTAATGCTTTTATGATAATCTTCTTTGAAGATAAAACATCACACCGCACCATTAAATCAAAGGTAGCTTTTGGAGTGAGCACTATACAAGAAGAATCTGCTGCATCCATATTTGCAACTCATCAAACACCCCTACCTAGTGTTCAGAATGCAAATTAAGAGGGCAGTATTTGGGAGATTAAATACAATAGATTCTCTCTCAGAGCAGGGATAGGGGATTCATCCCAAGCTAGAAATAACCCACATCCTAGCTACTCCAAAATTCAGTGGCTTTGTTCATTTGTTAACAAATTATTTTTGTTGCAGATTATGGTTCTTTAAAGAAAGGACAGGGTGGAAAGAGAGACAACATAAAAGACAGTGAAGCAAACACTGGTGACTGTTATGAGTTCTTGCTCAACACACAGATTTCTCAAATAGCGTGGATGTTTTCAGATAATTAAGTAACCACTAACTCCATGTGCCTGTTTAGAATGAACCTCATTGCATAATTAGATCAGATAAACAAAGAGTTTTCTCTTGTTCTAGCACTGAACAATTATTGCTTTGTGATTTCTCTTCCTCCAATAGACAATTGTAGATTTTAAATTAGCAGAAGGTGAAATTCTATTTGTCATCAATTTTTTCTAGGGGTTACAGAGCAGCAAACTGCAGACAAGCTGCATCTTTGATGGCTCACTCCTAAAAATCTCTTTTTGTTCTTTATCTATTTGAGCTGACAGTGATCAGAGCTACAGCAGGACAGGCCTCTCTGGAGAAATCACCTTCCCCCTGTCTATTGACAGATTCCTCTGTTCTGAATCAGACAGGTCTTGTCCCATCATAGGCATCAAGGCCTTGGAAGTAGCCACCAATTAGACCTCTTGAGCCAGTAAAATCTGAAGCCACTTTTGAGTGTCTCTTCTGATTAGGCAGGATGAGACAAAGCCCGTCACCCCCCCCAGCGCAGCTCCCTGGTCTCAATTTTCTCTCTTGCCTTCACCAGGTGCGAGAGGTGTGAGAGGAGCTTCACACAAGCCACCCAGCTGAGTCGACACCAGAGGATGCCCAATGAGTGCAAGCCAATAACAGAGAGCACAGAATCAATTGAAGTGGATTAACTGATTGACTGGTTGGAATTAAACTGCAAGGAAAGTCATGATTAAATGTCACGGACACTTAAGCAAAACCAGAGATTTCCTCTGAGCAACTTTCAATCAGTCCCAGAAAACCAAAAGCAGTAATAAAATAAGTAAGATGTTAAGAGATATTGATCCTGGCATGGAAGTGACACCAGGAAAGAGATTATTTATTTATGACTAGGGATAAGTCTTATTTCAATTGACAAGTTACTTGGGACTGTTAACATTTCAAGTCCCACTATGTATTGCTTTAATTCTAAAAGCCTTTATAATTGTTATTTAATGCCAAAGTGAGGAATCTCAAGGGTTCTTCTGCCCGTAGTTATGACTGAGAATGCACATGGACTTGTTTATTGTTGCACCTTTTTTTGTAGCATGACTCAAAGGACCCAGATGTAATCCGTATATTTGGCTGGGCTGGGCTAAGTTGATCTTGACATAGCTATAATAGAAATTGCTGTGTGGGATGGGAAGTGATCAAGAGCTGTATCTGGGTCAGTATCATCCTCCTCAGACCAAAGGGCATTTAATTTCCATAGTCTCATGCCTCACATTGTGTGCACTTTTTCATGTAAGTAGTTTCACTCAACAGCATTGCATTGGCATAGATATTCTGGCGCAAAAAAAAAAAAATAAAAAAGGAATGTTATGTATCTGCAAACATACATTATATAAAGAAGCCAGTAGGAAAGCTATGTTAAACTAATAGAGCTCTCAAATTCAGTCTAATAGCTATGAAAGACAGAGGCAGTAGAAAGTATTTTAAATGTTTAAGATTCCAGTCTATGTGTAAATCGTAACAGGAAAACTGATCGGAAGTCCAGGCTGTAGACCATTGATATCTTTGTTGGTTTGTATCAAATTGAGAATGCTCCTGTGTTAGTTGAAACTTTCAACATACTTGGGCTGACCTTCAATACAAAAGCTAAATCTGAACTCACATACTTTGTAAATGGCTTGGAGCCTCATAGTATTCACTTCATGGAAATTTGCCTGGTGCAGTCGTGAATGAAAGGATGCCAAAATATTCCCAACATCAATGTAAAAAGCTCAGATGTCATTACATTGGTTCAGTTTAACAATTTCCATATTGGCTTTTTCCAAACTTTTATCCTTGATGTATTTCAGATTTCATGATTTTGTCTAATCAAAGAATGGTTTTCCCTTTTAGAGACCAGCAGTGTTTGTTTATAAATTGATTGTCTCAATGCTAGAGCTGTAGTTTGATAAAAATGGGTAAAAAAAGAAAAAAAAAAAAGAAAAAAAAAAAAAACACCAAAAAAAAAACCCAAACAACAAAACCAAACCAAACCACCAACAAGAAGCAAACCTAAACAGTTCTGAGGTCATGCTATATTTTAAGGTAAAAGTGCAAAATAAATTTGTGGAGATTATGGGGATTAAAACAGATTCATTCAGTTTTGCACCAAAACTGAAATGCTGGGTGGCTCATAAGGGCTCAGTTGATTATACTAAATATTTTAAAAACATTTATGGGGATGATTTTAAATCTGTAGAGAATTAAGTATCCAACTCTGTAAAGGGCTAGACAGAATCAGCTACAAACACAATTAACAGGTTCAGAGCATTTATGAGTTCTGCAAAAAGCTCAAGCAGAAAAAGAACATACAGTAAAATTCAAATGCATGTAAAAAAGAATGTACAATCTAAGACATAATTACTTTAGGATGTTCTATTGCAGGATGTATTATTGCAGAAAATTCACTGCAGAATCTGGAGTTTCCAAAGCTTTGCAAGAAATTACTTCGAGAGTTACTCTATTATTTGTGTTTGTCCATTACAAATGTAAAGGATTCTGGAAAAAAAAAAAGATATTTTTATCATTGTTCTAGCAGGTACCAGTTTATCTCATTAAGAGGTTTTGGCTGTGTGAGTTTTTCAGCTCTGTTTCACAGTACAGAGATAGGGGGAGCAAGCAATTCTGTTTCCGCTCACCTGATTTTTCCCTCGAAATGACTAGAAATTCTTAACTACTATATAGATGTGTGTGTTTGTTTTTTAGGTTCAAAGAAGCATGAGAAGCTGGGTAGGAAGAATTGTAACTTAAAGGTGACTATTTGAACATTGTTCTGTTCCTAGCAAGGCTAATCAAACATTAAAAAAACAAAATCTGATCCTAAACCTTTCAGACCCTCATGCCTGGTAGTTCACACCTTCTGTTATTTAAAGGGACTTAATGTAAAGTAACATCTTGGTGGTGCACCAGCTTTTGGTTAACATTTGAACAGCAGCTGTAGATCAGCAGCTGTAGATCATTTCTGCAAGCAAATAGATACTCTCACAAAAAAAAAAACCAAAAACCAACAAACAAAAAAAAAGGCAGAAATTTATAAATAGAATAAGTGGGAAAAGATATATGACACTCCCTGAGAAGCAAATGAGGGCTATCTGTTGGATCACTGGTTTGTGCTGCTGCATTATCTAACTGCGCTCTCCTGTTCAGGGATGTGATTAGCGATAGTTCAGGGCACCCAGCCTCTTGCAGAAGGGATTTATATTTGAATCCAGTAATGAAAATAGCACATAAGTATATGCTTACAGATATTGCAAGGTCCCTGCTGAATATAGATAGGCTTATTCATATGTTTTTAATTAAAAGTGTCTAAATAGTCTCCTGAATGGGTGTGAAGATCAGTTATTTCAAGATTTTACTGGATTTTTTAAAAAATGCACCAGAGTAGGGTTTGTGCAGAACTTACTTTCTTTCTTCCAAGTAATTCTTTCCTGTGTAAATCGCTATGTTGTGCCAGATGCCTAAGCACAATTTCAATTATTGTATTATTTTATACATGGCACTTTCAGAACAGATTGGGCAGCATACAAAAGCAATTCAGCAAAAATCCGTTATTTCATAGTGGGTTTTTCCTCAAGAACAACATTTGGCATTCTGTTACAATGTAGCACATGTAAAACTAAGGTGGACAAGCTGAAATACATCCTAGGTTTGGACTAAACAGAATCTAGTTCCTGTCTGCACTGGCTGAATGCTGAGTGGGTTTCTCTTCATGTATCGACAGAGCAACCATACATTTAGGTCTATTATGAATACAGTATGTGTTTGCACACAGTAAACTGAAGCAGTAAGTGTAGTACAATTATCTTTAAACGTAGTGAATATGTGCCTGCCATTTCAGAATTTCCGAAGCACTTGGCATCTCTGTTTTGTAGTACGGTAAATAAATACAAGCTTGGGGTTTTTTTTGTTTGTTTGAGGGTGGCTTTTTTTGCTTGTTTTTGTTTTGGGTTTTTTTTGTGGGGGTTTTTGTTTTGTTTTTGTTTTTGTTTTGGTGTTTTGTTTTTTGTTGTTGTTGTTGCTGTTGCTGTTGTTGTTGGGGTTTTTTGTCCAACCCAGAATACATTGGAAGTCATATTTAAAAACTGTGCCTAGTTCTTATTTTTTTTATTTTTTTCAGTGTGGAATTAAATTTTATACATTCATAGGATTATTCCTTTCATAAAAATGTTAGGTCCTTTATAAACCTACAGCTACAGACCCCAAATATGATCTTTGTCTTCCCATGAAAGAAAGCTGAGTTGGGAATAATGTAATAATTACAGCACATTACATACTATAAACTTAAAAGCAACGATGTTTATATCTTTTGGTAACATCATCTCTCCTTTTAATTACTATTTATTATTCTTATGGTGCTGTTATGTTATGTGATTCTGTCTTACAGCTGACAAAATGATGTGATTTCAGACAAATAAATAGGTGAAAGTCCAAAAGTAAGTCCTCATTGCTTTCGAGAGTCAAGAGTTGCTATGATTTTTTTCTTTATTTTAAATTACAATCAGAGCACTCTTCTGTACTACCCCAGTCCTTTCTGTGGGTAAGATTCCAGAAAATAAAATATTCTGGGACTGCATAAAATCTTTTCTTTTATATTTTGTCTAGATTTTGGAACTTTTGACATCATTAAGCCAATCTGAAAAAGTTCATAAATCCACCCAGTAGATGTAGACTATGAAGGGGTCCTCTGTTGTAATAAAAATAATAATGTCACTGTAGTTAGAAACGTAAACAGCTTGCTCGCATTTTTTTAACTTCATAAAATTGCATCTTTTTTACTGCAAAGGACCAATTAAATCATGCATGTAGCTGTATTCTTGTGATGTCAACTGTAAAGATTACATTGTGTTTAAATGAAGATAACAGGCACACATTTAAAAAGAAGATGAAATGTAAATATATTTGATTAATAAAACATTTCTATTACCATAACTTAAGGCTTTGTTTTATGTTAAGATCACATACGGAATTTTGTGCATGCTATGCAGAAAACTAAATATGCTTAAATGCATGTGTATTGAAGGCAGCCTCAAATAATAACAGTGCCTTGCTATAGCTTTCATTATGAGCTTTTAAAAGGGATTTGCAGCTGGGATGTTGCAAAGCGATTTGCAGTGAGAAGAGGGTGAGATCAAGTTCACTTTTCTTGGTGACTGTATCTCAATCCTCCCATTGATGTAATGCTGAGAGCACGTGCAGTCATATGCCCAAGCAGTTTCTCAACCATTCATTGGAATTTTTTGGTATAGGTTTATGATGCAAATCGTGTCATATTGTAACCAAGTTTTTCTATTGGGCATACTGGAGCGGGTGTTTTTTATGGTTGATAGTCTAAGCCTTGTTTAGTTTCCTGAATCCTGATTTACAAGGATCACCACCTAGTGGGCTAAGGCAGAATTTCAAAATTCCAGTTGAAGTGATGTCTTAGCTCATTTAAAAAAACAAAACATTCTAAAAACAAAGCTAAAAGCCCTAACCATGCTCCACTGCAGTGGACCTTCCAGTGCCATTTTTAACGTTATTTCCCTGCCATTGTATATGTCAAAGAGCAGTGATTAGTTCACTAAGTCGCCTTTCCACTTGAAAAAATACTACTTGAGTATGAGAAAAATATGTCAGTTTCTGTCATTTTTCATCTTATATGACCTTTTACACAAGCACCAGA